CGCATGCGCGAACAGCGCCATCTATTGAGAAAAGCTAAAACTGCGTCGGCGCGAAAAGTTTTGAAGAGCGGTCATTAACAACAATGATCTTTCTGTTTTCATTTCATAATCACACCAGACCAAACTTGGGTAAAGAACGAGGTTTCTCCTAATGTATCAAACATGTTTGATGCCCTGATGCTCTTCTTGTTATTTTATAATATAGAGAGGGCGGGCACACTGACAGTGACAGTATTGCCGCTTTCTAAAGAATTGACTGTTTAAACATTGTCAATATTTGAAATGATTAACAGTCTTAAACTAATTACTTGTCACTGACCCTACGATTTCCAAAAACAAAAACAAGTAACACATTTAAAATGTGGTAATAATCGACAGTTTAAAACCTAAGTTAAATTATAGACTATATTTTTACAGTGCCCCATAGTCAGTTAGTCCTTGTACTCAGTCAGAGAGGACGGCGCCCGGCCCCGTAGGTCATTAGGCAAGTGCGTTTTTGCACTCCTGGGTTTCCCTTGTTAGGTTTCCTCGGTCGGGTTGATTCTGCCCGGTAGGCACGGGGAACGGTGGAAAAACGTGCGACAAGTGGCCACTGGTACGTTGCCGGCCGGGGCGTCCCCGCAGACACCGCTCTACCCCAAGAGGTCCCCTCCAGGCCAGCCTGGCGATGACCTCACCTCAACGTGGCAGTCGCGACCGCGGACCATCTCCAGGCCCCCGCCGAACGCCCCCAGCTACAGACACGCCACTATACTTCGCCCTGCCCAGTGCGCCAGGTGACGGTGAGCTGATTTGGTGGGGAACCCGTCAACCCGTCGGTCCCATCCTATCTCGTTCGCAAGCGCCAGTATACGGAGGTTGGCGACGGCCCATCACCATGAAAACCCAGGGCGCCAAAATTGTTTCACGCTTTCCTGTCGAGGTGCTTAGCTCGTGTTTTTGTGTGTCCAGGACCATGGAGCGGCTGCCGGACGACGTGCTGCTGCTGACGATGGAGTACCTCGGCCCGGAGGACCTGCTGACGTGCCGGCTCGTGTGCAAGAGGCTCGGGAGGCTAGCCCTTCATCCTGGCGTGTGGAGCCTCCAGAGCTGGAACGCCAACTCCGTCGACGGCGACCGCAGGGCGTGCCGCGTGCTGCGCCTGGCGCCGCGGCTGGGCAAGCTCGTCGCCCGGGTGGGTCCTCACCTGTCACTTGCCATGGCCCGCTGCGCCGTCAAGGAGCTCGAGCTGGTCGCCAACGAGTCCACCTCCGTGCAGGCCACCCTCCTGTTCCGCAACCAGGAGAAACTCGGCCGGCTGCGGCGGGTCGAGCTCTACTTCTACGGGGAGGCTCTGGGCGGCGCCCCCGTGCTGTTCGCGGCGCTGGTGTCGTCGCCGGTCCTCGAAAAGCTTGAGATCCGCAATGTCCCGTTCAACTTTGACGCGAAGGCCATGCACTGCACAGTGCGCCAGCCGGCCCTCAAGCACTTCAAATGCAGCGCGAAGGCGGGGTCTGTGCCCTTCGTCAACTTCGTGCTGACCGTCCACGCCACCACCCTGCAGGTGGTGGACCTCGGCCACGAGGCCTGCTGCCCGACCGCGACCTCGACGGTGGCCCTGCTCGCCGGCCTGCCCCACCTCCGCGAGCTGTCCTGCCCCCTGCTCCCGGACATGGGGGCCCTGGCGGCGTCCGAGACCCTGGGGCTGTTGACTCTCCACGTGGCGGCCGCGATGCGACCCGCCGCCCCCGCGGCCGCCAAGTACCTGCGACGCGCCCGCCACCTCCAGAACGTCACCCTGAGATACAGGTCTGCGACTCGCTTCCCCGTCGATGTGGGCGTCGACCTGGTCGAAGCGCTGGCGTGGTCGTGCCTCAACCGCGTGGAGACCCTGTGCATCGAGCACGAGTACGACCCGGACGCCAATCGGGCTGACGGCGAAGACGCCCGCCTGCCCGACCCGGGGCCGCTGATCAGGTCGCTGCCGTCACTGACGGCCCTGCGCACGCTGCGCCTCGACGTGTTCGAGACCCCCGGGGCGCTGCTGCTGGCCGTCACGCCGGACGCGGCCCCGGCCCTGCGGGCCCTGTACCTGAACCCGTCGCCGCGGCGGATGGCGGGGCTGCCGCCGTGCGCGCACGCCTGGCGGCACGAGGACGCGGTCCGGGCGTTCCTCTCGGCCAACCGCTCCGTCGGGCTCCACGTCGCCGCCACGCCCTACTGCTTCAAGGACGAGCGCTGCCCCGCGTGCGCCCTGGGCTGGCTAGCCTGCCACGGCGACCTGTGGCCCTCCTGGGATTGGGAGCTCACGTCGGCGTCCAGCACCCTCAGCCACCGGAGATGGGTGCATGTCCGCTGAGATGCTGCCCGTTCATTTTGCAAGCTTCGCATTGTGTATTGAAGAGTGGTAAATTTGTATTCTTGTAATTTTAAACTTTGTTTTAGATGTTTTGTTGCAAAAGAACAGTAATAAAAACTGCGTAAAAATAAGCCATTGTATGTGCTCCATTCGCAAGCCATAGAGCCATGATGAGCCATTGGCTGTTTTTTCGCCGATTCCTCCAAGGCAACAGCAACGCCGATAGCAGGGCGCCCGCGCGTGCAAGAGAGAAAGTTACTGTGTGAGAGAGAGAGACAGAGATCAGCTCGTGCGCGCAGGCTGGCAGCGGCGGCGAGCGAGACGACAGGCAGTAAAACTCGCAGTGACTCTCCGCATCACATCATAACGCATCGCTCTGCGACCTGAAGCTGGAGTTTGATTTTCTTTCGGAAAGCCCAACTCTACTTTTCCCTGATTTTCAAACACAGGTAAGGTCAGTCATCCGTGAATCGGCTCGTAAAGCGTCCGTCAGTGTCACGTCATCTCTCAACTCAACAACTCCAGATTGTAGCACCGAAACATATGCCAAAGGTGGAATACACAATACACTATCCAAAATTGTCAGTATTCAGCCGCAAATCAACCAGAGTGCAGACCTCGTAGACACATGTGTTTTGATTAACATACAGAATAAACGACGAAAATCACGGTTTGAAACCAGTTCCGCGAGTAGGTTATGGTGCTTTGTTGTGGTCCCGCTCAACAGTTGCCTCAACT